GTTCCAAGATTCAAGGAGATTTTCCTGCACATATTGGTGCAACCCTCGGCGTGTGAAACAAGAAATATCTAGGAGAAGATTTAAGGCCCATGGATTTTTTGAGGAGTATTTAAAGAAGACCTAGACCAAGTGCATAATAATCCTTTACGATTTGAAAAAGTAGGGGAAGGTTAGGGATTAGGTTTTGAGATTCTCTTGTGTTTTGTGATTGTAAGTCACCCTTGTATCTTTTGATACTTGTGGTAGACATTTGTTCTCACTTAAAAACTTTTAGGTAATAAGTTAAGTATTGTTCTCCTTGAAGCTTTTAAACAAGAGTTGAATATTCTTCTTGGTGAAAGCTTTTAAGCTTCCCGAGTATTGTTCTTAGTTGAGAGTTTTAACTAAGTATTTATAATTGGGAAGTATGTTCTTCCTGGAAGTTCTTGGGATTTAGATTGTATTTTCCTGTGATTGGGAGTTTGATATCACTATGGTGATTGGAAATGAGAGGGGTTCTCATATGTAGGAGGTTCCTAGGTAGAATTTGCACTGGGTAAGGATTAAGTGAATGGTTGTAAATGGGGGAGTTTAGCTTCAAATTAATACTGCTAATAATGGATTTCCTTCCTAGATTGGTAGCCCCTAGAGTTGGTGATTTTACACCGAACTGGGCTAACAAATCGATTGTGTTTTTTAGCATTCTGCTTTTAAAATTCTGTATATTCATTCAGTTTGATATTGTTATTCAGTATGTCGACAGATGTTGTAACATCTGTCCTGACATCATGTTCTGATTTTAAAAATATTAGTATGTTCATGGTGTGTACCAGTGCCAGAAATTTCAAAGATTATGGTGCAGGATCAGCTGGAAGAAATATATCTGGTAGATAGGGCCGACAAAACACCAACTTACATTAGTGCCAATCTTTATCTAAAGCTTAAAATCGAAGTGATCCAGTTGTTAAAATATTACAATGATTTCTTCGTGTGGGACTACGACGAGATTCCTGGGTTGCGTATGGAATTGGTGGAGTTGAAATTACGTATAAAGGATGGCAAGAAGCCCATCAAACAGACTCCAATAACATTTGCACCAGAAGTCTTGTCAAAAATCAAAGAAGAGATCGAAAGGCTCTTAAGATGTAAGTTTATCTGAACCACGAGGTACGTAGAATTGATTACTAACATTGTTCCTGTTATAAAGAAGAATAGGACTTTGAAGGTTTGCATTGGCTTCAGAGATCTGAATGTTGCGACCCCAAAAGAAGAATATCCAATTCTAGTGGTAGAAATGCTTATTGATTCAACAACAAGCTTTGAGTATCTTAGTATACTCGATGGATATTATGGATATAATCAGATTTTTATAGCTGAAGAGGATGTGCCAAAAACGACATTACAATGTTCTGGGGCATTAGGTACCTATGATTGGGTTGTAGTTCCTTTTGGTTAAAAAAATGTCGGGTCAACTTATCAAAGAGCAATGAATTCCATTTTCCATGATTTTATTGAATCATTTATCCAGATCTATATTGACGATATAGTCTTCAAATCCATATCGGGAAAGAGTCATATCAATCATCTTCAACAGTCATTCAAAAGGATGAGAAAACATGGTTTAAAGATGAATCCTCTCAAGTATATGATTTGTGTGCAGGCAGGGGACTTCTTAGGCTTTGTGGTCCACAAGAAAGGGATTGAAATCAACCAAAACAAAACCAAGGCTATCATGGAGGAAAAAGTGCCATCGACAAAGAAAGAATTGCAATCCTTTCTTGGGAAAATCAACTTTTAAGAAGATTTATTTCAAACTTAAGCAGAAAAAACTCATGCTTTTTCGCCACTATTATGTTTGAAGAATGAAGGCTTTGAATGGGAATAACAACATCAGAAACCTTTTGACAAGATTAAGGATTACCTAGCTCAACCTTCCATCTTGACGCCTCCTTGTAGAAATAAGAATATGAGATTGTACATCTCTACATCTGATGCAGCCATAGGGAGCATGCTTGCCCAAGAAGATGAAAATTGCATTGAAAGAGCCATTTATTATCTAAGTAGTGTCCTCAATGATGAAAAAACTATATATAGCATGGTAGAAAAACTATGTTTATGTTTGTACTTTTCTTGTACCAGTTTGAAGCATTATATTAAACAAGTGGGTGTTTTTGTTTTGTCGCATTTTGATATAATTAAACATTTGTTGTCCAAGCTAATTCTACACAGTCGAAGTGGAAAGTGGGCTCTGGCCTTAACAGAGTATTCACTAACATTATTTACATTGAAAGACATGGAAGGACAAGTAGTTGTTGACTTTATTGTCGATCACGCTTTAGTATAAATGCCCCAAAGTTATTTGGAGCTTGAAGCATGGAAATTGTTTTGTGATGGTTCTAGTCAAAAGAATGGAACTAGTGTTAGGGTGCTCATTATTTCTCCAAATAAGATCCCAAGAAATTTCAAGTACAAGATCGATGGCCTTTGTTCGAATAATGAGGCTGAATATGAGGCGTTGATAGAAGGCCTTGAAATCTTGCTTGAACTGGGGGAAAATCGAGTCGAAATAAAAGGAGAATCTGAGTTGGTTATCAGGCAACTTACGTAGGAATACAAATGTGTCATAGAAAATTTTATAATGTATTTTGTCATAGAAAATCCGTTGCTGAAGCGATTCGATGTGGTGAAGTTTGAGCATGTTCCTCGACTTGAAAACCAAGAGGTGAACGAACTTTCCCAAATTGCGTCTTGATACAAGGGGACCAAAGGAATATTAGAGGAAGCAATTATAGTTCAAGGAAAAGTGATGGCAACTAGATTGACTCCATTAGACTTGGAGGCGATAAATTTAGGATGTGTGGATTTTGAGAATTTTGAAATCTTCGTCATCAATAGTCTACCTGATAATGATTGGTGAAAGCCAATAGTGAGTATCTTCAAAACCCTACAAGAATAACTAATCGAAAGGTTAAATATAGGTCTTTGAGTTATGTCATCATAGGAAATGAACTATTTATTTAGACCTCATAAGGAATTTTACTTAAATGATGTAGCGAAAGTGAAGCATATGTGGCTCTGTTGAATGTCCATAGTGGAGCCTATGGGGCTCATCAAGCGGGGAATAAGATGAAGTGGATCTTGCTTCGACAAGGTCTGTATTGGACTACAATACTCAAAGATTGTATCTAATTTTTAAAAGGGTGTCAATGATGCCAGATACATTCAACCATCTAACACGTTCTTGTAAGTGAATTACATGTTGTCGTGAAACCCTGGCCATTTAAGGGGTTGGGCATTAGATTTGGTTGGTGAAATTCTACCAGCTTCTTCTAAGAATTAGAAATATATCCTAGTAGGTATTGATTACTTTACCAAATGGATATAGGTTATGCCTTTGGTCTATGTTAATCAGGAGGTTGTCATTTATTTCATCCAAAGGAATATTATTTATAGATTTGGAATTCCTGAGACGATAACAACGGATCAGGGATCAATATTTAATGGGATAAAGATGTAAGAATTTATGTCTGAAGTTGGAATCATAATATTAACTTCAACGACTTACTATGCCAAGAAAATGGTCAAGTGGAAGCAGCTAACAAGATTGTTATTGGGTAATAAAGAAACGTGTAGAGAAGAATCCAATGAATTGGCATAAAACTTTGGGTCATGTATTATGGGCTTGCGGAACTTCTCCTAAGGAGGCAACAAATACCACCCCATTTTTTTTGACCTATGGGAATGACGCAGTGTTGCCAATAGAAATCTGTTTGTAATCAACAAGATTTCAGAGACAAAATGAGATACCATTTGAACACTATTGGAACATAATGATGGATAAGTTGGTTGACCTGAATGAAGAAAGACTTTCTCCATGGACACATTACATAGACAGAAAGAGTGTATCACAAGGTCATATAATAAAAAAGTTAAAGAGAAAATGTTTGTGATGGGTGAGTTTGTTTGGAAAGTTATATTTCCTATGGGTCGCAAAGATAGAAATATGGGAAATTGGTCCCCAAATTGGGAAGGCCCATTCAAAATTTCTAAAGTTTTCTCAAATAACGCCTATGAAATTGGAGAGTTGGCCGCAGACCAGAGAATTTTGCGAGTAAATGGGAAATATCTGAAAAGATACAAGCCCATTTTGCAAGAAGTGATAATCAAAACAAAATAACATTCATGAAAAGCTAAGCTAAGATGGTGTTTGCATAGTAGAATACCAAAATGACTAACATTCGATTACAAAATAACATTAGAAATATCATAACCAGATGTCATGATTAAACATTACAGAGACAATAAAGATACAAAATTACAGGAAAAATTAAAAAGGAGCAGAGGCCTTGAGTTTTTCATATTGATTCTTGGCAATCTTCAGTCGATGATCATTTAAGGAGATGTTCAAAGTGATATTGGTGATTTCTTCATCAAGAGTCTTGATCCTTTCGACATGATGAACCCCAACTGTAGTTGCTTCATCAAGGGCTTTTAGATTGACACTCCATTTTGTCGAGCCTTTACTTTTTGTATCTTAGTTTGTCTTTCTGCTATCTCTTGTTCCCATTTAGCAATGCCAGCCTGACAAGTCTCAAGCTCTTAGTCCTCTTGGCAGAAAGTTGATTCTTTAATTTTCGACTTGGTTAATGGAGTCAGTGAGAGAATCTTGTTCTGCAATAAGGGTTTCATGTTTTCTTGATAGTTTGTTAGTAGTGTCTCATTTGTGAAGGATATCAACAACAATCTGGTCAAGGAGAAGCCCGAATTCCGCGATGAAATCAGAGATGGTTGGAGGAGTGTCAAGATTATCAATTTGTTTAAGCAATTCCTTGATTTTGTGACACGTTACGCATTCAACCGTCAAAGTCTGGGATAAATCCACATCGAAGATATATGCTTTGAGAAGAACAAGGAGTTTGTCAATAGAGTCTACTTTTGAGTTGCCACCAGATATGATGGAAGAACTAGAACATTTGTCAAATGAGTTGAGTCTTGTGTTCATCATTAAGTATTCATAGGGTTTATGCTTCTTGAGGTTGTCTAATTCCTCCTATGAAGAGGTGGTTGTGGTGGTCAAAGGAGTTTTTTGGGGCAGTTATGTTGCCAAAAGTTTCATTGGTGTCCATTGCCATTTCTTGATGTTCTCCATGATGATCAGTATTATCATCATCTTGTTCTTCTTCAGAAGAATCAAACGAAATTTTAGCATTATGGTCACCTTTGGTGTTACCCACATTATCATCAAAATCATCTAAGGAATGAGTTTTGTCTTGGTCAAGCATGTCTTTGTCTGGATTGTCTTCTCCTTCTCTTTCATGCTTAGAGTCTTCATTGTTGCTTTTAGTGGCAGATTGGGGGAACACGGATGATCCTTGGGAGACGAAGGAAGTTGTTGGATAGCCTCTAAAACTTCTTGTTCAAATTCATTTGTAGAACCTTTGTTTAAAGGTGGATGAAATGAGGGAGAAATAGTGGATGGAGGTATTTAGTAATGAATGTTGGTTGTAACAATACAAGTATTCTTGTCGCTAGTTTGTTTATCTTTATAAGGGAGAAGTCTAAGTAAATTTTCAGACGTATGTATATTAAAATAATCTATATGGTGATTTACCTTGTCTAAACCCCTGTCGGGACTTGAGTTATTTCTTTTCTCATGATTAGAAGGAACATTCTCGTTCATTGGTTCATCTTCAACCACTTTGGAGAGAAATGGCTTCTTCGCCTTTGGACTAGGAGATACTTTAGCACTCGTGGGGAGTTTTTTGGGAACAATCGAAGTATTTTTATTTCTCTTATTCAATATTGTATGTTTATGAGATGAGTCTTCGACATTTTCTGGTTCTTATGCCTGTGGTGCAGAATCAACTTTCTTGCTCTTGGCATGGCTAGTTGGGGGTTTCTTTGCGGCCTGAAATATAAACACAAAATGTGAAGTCAAAACACAAAGATTCAAAGGGAAAAATTGTATAAGTAAACACATACCTTTGATGCTTATCCTTTGCTAGAGTTATCATACTTTTTCTTCTGAAGGATGGTGGGTGCTTTAGCACTAGTTTATTTGCTTTGTTTTTTTCGATCAAGTGCTAAGACAAAGAAAGTTCAGCTACAGTATAATGACGCGTAAAGAAAGGGAAAGTTTGAACTAAGTTTGATCGAAGGAGCCTTCACTTTCCTTAACTCCATGTATATAAGTGAGTATCCTGACATGTTTTATGTCGACATGAAGGTGGCCTTAGAAACTGTGTAAGTCAAGCTTAGTCGGAACCACCCTTTGTGTTGGCTTTAAACTTTCATGCTATAAAGCTTTGAGAGTGGAGCCACAAATGAACTGCCGTGGAAATGGGGGTCGAAATTCCAAGGTCATCTCAGAACTTGGCAAGCATGGGAATGTTGGTCGACAAATTTTGAAAGCTAATCCATATGTGTCTTCTTTCTTTACATATGAAGGAAGTTTTATGTTGGGGAGTTTTTTCATAAATTGTTCCTTTAAAGTAACGGCAGCATCATAAATGGTACGACTAAGATCATTAGGTCTGTACACAGTTTTGAATTAGCATTGAAAGGCTTCGATCTCTTTGATATGTTGACTTTTAACTTTCTGGAATCGCTCTTGTATAAGAGAAAAAGCATTGGTTAGACTCTTCGACAATGTTTCAACATCGGGAAACTCGTCAGCATGATAATTCCTCCACCAGTTAGAAAATTCACAAGTGTAATAAAAAAAGGTTGGAAAGTGGTTAGAGTGAGTTCATCCTTTGAGTCAGAGTACTATTTTAGACGATATTGATATTAATCTTTAGAATAATTGACATGGTATAAGAATATCTCACTCTTGCGAGTGTAAAATGATTTTAGAAGTAGTTGGTTAAGTCCAAATTGTCAACAGGCCAAATTAGGCTGGAGGATTTGAAATTCTCCTTGTATGTTCCAACTCTAGTAGAGATTAATTAGGGTATAAGAAAAGCTTCCGAAATTGCAAGAGATTCAGCTGCTTGATCTGAATTAGTTGAAGGAAATTCTCAAACAAACAACTTTGGTCCATGAGTTCGTTTGGCGAAAGGAGCCATTGTTTGTGTGAACTTATTGTGCTTGGTGAACATCAGAATATAGCTGGCGAAAACTTCTGGTAAATCGCATCCAGAATCTGTTGGAGTCAGGAGATCCAATCAAGGACCTTCTGCTCTTTTGTTTTTGATAGTTTCATCTTTGTCATTAGGTTTATCTACTATAAATGAGGGTTCAAATGTGGTGTTCAACCATATTTGATGTAGCCAATAAGGACCAACAAGTAGAAAGTTGGTTCCTAGTTTGTGGAATTTTTAGCAGACAACAGCTTCGCCCAGAGTTTTATGGAGGGAACCTAAGATCAAACGGCTTGAGCAGATATTTTGACCCTTATGAAATTGGTTCTCTAGGGTTAAGAATCTTTTCACAAACTTCTATGATTTGTAGCAGAAGATGAACCTCGAAAGCCAGAGTGCGAGAAAGGCTATATGGTTTGCATCAGATACTTCTTCGATTGTTTTGTCATGATGATCAGTTATGTAGAGATAAAAGTTGGGTCTTTCAGTGTTAAAGTTCATGGTGTCTTCACTCTTGACTGTGGGGTCGAACTCTTCTCTTGTAGGTCGTAAACCTGTGATGGTTTTTATGTCGAAGAGCATCGAAGTGATCATGCCACAGGGGAGTTGGAAAGTGTTTGTTGAACTTTCCAGAAATGTAGGGATGCTACTAGTATATTCTGGAAATATCCTAGACCTACTTTCGGAAGTTGAATCAGGTCGAAGATCATCTCTTTCTAGGTTTCTATCTTCTTATTTTCAACTTTGGCTAACTAAGCCAAGTAGTTTCCAGGATCCATAAATAAAGGGCATGAGTGAAACACTCGAAGGGAGTTTCTCATGCAGTTCAGATTGATAGGGTTATCTACTTCGACTATGCTAGCATCTTTTGACGCAGTAGCATCAATACAATCTTTACCCTTAGACTTTTTCATCTCATTGACAGTTTTTTGATCGTCTTTTTTAGTCGTTGGCTTTTTGAAGCTAACTATAGGTTTGACACGATATTAAGCGGGAAAGAAATCTGTCATATTTTCAGTGTGCATTTTAGGGTTAGGTAAATGACCCATGAAAGCATGTTTTTACCAGAGATTGCAAAAGGAATAAGTACCTGAGATTGATAGATACGGGTTTTTTCTTCTAAGATGGGTGGTTCAGGAACATATTCCTAATTTCCCGCAAGAACTGGAACGGGAATCTAATTAACTTGTGGGAGAGTTGCTTTGGAGCTGCTAGTGTTCTTGTTGTGCTTTGATTTTGATGCTACCTTATTTGTTGAGTTTGGAGCTGAAGTTTTCTAGGTTTAAGGAAGACGCAGATGTTGAAATAGTGAATGTTTTGAAGGAAAAGAAAAGAAAAAAGGAAGAAGAGAAAGCTTTTATAGTGAAAAAATGAAATTGTTTAGTTTCAGAAAATGAACAGTTTTTTTTATCATGGGAAACATGTTGGCCATTTGGAGGGAAATATAACGGTTGTCTAGGTAAAGGCCCATGTTCTCGTGGATATTAGGAGTTATCATTGTTATTTAGAAAGTTTCACGTCCCGAGAAGACATTTGAAAGAATTGTCATGATGATTGTGATGTCAGAAGAGTATTGTTAATGAGATATTGAAGAGATAAAAAATGCATATTTCTCCCATTAGTCTAAAATGACATTTTTAGATGGCAATTTGTTAGCTGAAAATTTCATTTTTGGTAAATAAATGAATAAATTGGAATGTCTGATGCTATATTCGATGGACATTGATGTGTGTCAAAAAGATATGTATTTTCGACATAATGTTTTTAAGCGTGTGCGATTGCAAATCAGATGGCAAGGTTCAATGAGAAGTCATTAAGCTGACTGTTATTTCGACCGAAGAAGATAAAAGATTCGAAACTAAAAATGATAATAGTTTTTCGATCTTATTTGTTGGCAAATGATATGTGGAAGCAAATGGGAGATTGAAAGCATGTAGATAGGAAACGTGTCGATACCTGAAAAAGTGGTCGTTCAAAGACAATTATTTTAGTTTAGTATAAATAGAGGTCTTAAGATCAAGATTTAGTGTCTTAAATTTGTACCAAAATTCAAAATCACTCAACGTATATAAGTGTATTGAGAAGCGAGTTTCTGAGTTAAATCTACGTATGAAATTACCATAATTTCCAATACCAAATTGTTTACTTTAACGTTATTTTGATACCTTTTAAGTTTCAGTCAAAGTTACTCTAAATTCCCGTAATTTTCATTAATCTTCTTTGCATTGCTTTTAAGATTCCTAGTAGTGTCGAAATACTTATCATTAAGAAAACTTGAGAAAACTATGCATATATGTCCTAGGATCAATCTAGTCGATCCTGTAAGTAACCAAAGTATCATTGTTGGAAGACTAGATGGTATTTACCAAAATAGACGATAAACACTTACATGGAGCTCAGATATCAGTTTCTTGTTTACATGATTTGAATCACAAACTTCATGATTTGAGTCACATCACTCTAATTCGAATCGCAAGACTACTTGACTCGAATCATATTGAACTGGAAGTTTCGTAGTTTTCTTCTAGAATTCTGATTTGAATCACTATTTCTTATTACTCGAATTATGTGATTTGAATCATATTTTTTGTGATGATAATTACATAAATGAGTTCTCGTATGGTTTTTTCTTCTTGATTCAAATTAATTAGTTTTTTACCTGAATCATGCCTATTACTTATGGCTCAAACCATACGCCATTTTTCACTCATTTTTATGCTAGATCTCTAGTACATATAAAATACTTTGTTTCAAACCTCTCACAATGTTGGAAAACATACACTTCCGCCATTGATTTGAAAACTCATAACTCATTTTTTCTATCAATTTCAAAAGGATTTTTGAATCTTTCTTGAGTGCTAGCAAATGATTTCTTTCATCTTCTATCTCATTCTAATTCAATTTTCACACGGATCTAAATTTCATCTTTGGATATTTGTGATTGTGGATGAGATTCTATTAATGTGTTTAACATTTCTTTGAAGATTTTCTTGAGATTTCATAAACATGCAAGGTGTGTGATGTTGTGATTGGTTTTGACAAGTCGTTTGTTTGGAAGTCTATCGACAAACTGAGAGTCATTCTCAATCTTGAGATATACCAATGCTCAAGATATTGGTATTATCTAAGAAAATTTGTTGTAGAACGGAGACTTTGGAGTAGAATTTGTAAGTACGAAGTGCGCCTAAGAGTAGAATTCTGGTTTTTAGTGATGATGGTTCTTATTTTTCTGGTTATAATTGAGTTTAGGAAAGCTTAAAAATGCAGAAAAATAAAGAGACACAGGCGATATATCCTGGTTACCCTCACAGTTCGAGAGTACTCCAGTCCCCTTTCAACATGAAAGAGATTTCCTTATTGTGGCAAACTTAAACAAGAACTACCAACCAAACCAAGAACAATCCTCTTGGACCAAGAACAATCCTCTTTGATTTTCACTAAGTTACCTATGAGAACAATCCTCTCAATGTAACTACACTTGTATCCAACAACTTGGAAAGACAAGATTTCAACAAAAACACTTAAACTTAATTCCAACAATCCTGGAAAATAAGTAAGTAAATATCAATTTGTGAGTTTGAGTGAGTAGAGTAATATAGATCACTAAGAGTGATTTGAAAATGTATAATCTTCTTCTTTCAATAATAATATTGTACAAAGACTCAAGATATATTTGCTCAAAGTTTTCTGTTTAAAGTATGAAAAATGTGCAGAAAACTTATGCATGAAAATGAAGAATGCTTGAGTTTGTATTTTGAAAGTTCAGAAAAAATTTATGAAAGAAGGTGTTAGATCTGGATTCGAAATTGAATATTTATATGTTCATAACACCCTTTCGAAACATCATGAAGATCTGGAAATGTATCATGAACAAATGCCAAGTTTTAGTGAAAAGATGTAATGAAAAGGCATGATCAAAAGGCATGAACAAA